CTTTCCAGAGTGGTCGCACCAATTTGCAGTCCCACCAGCAGTGTATGCTGGCTTAAATTTCTTAAACTGTGATGAGGAGAGCCACACTGCAGCTGAGAGCTATCAAGTCTCTAGTTTGTTCAGCAGGAATGGTATGGCAGATAGATTTACAGTCAGGATAATGGAATGAGCCAGATCCAGTAATGATGTAGGGAAGAGGTTATGCTTTTATTTTTCCAGAAGGTGCTGAGAAGCGGATTTGGATACCTGAGAGAGCAGTGCGTCATCAACATGGATCCAACAGCCAGACAGGAACCCCAGTTCAAAAGATTGAGGATTGCTCTAGAAACAGTGGCTTCAGCAACAGGCACCCCCAAAATCTCAGAAGAAAAGAAAAAACTGAGAGAAATAAGCACCCAGCAAAAGGCACACTAAGTGCAAATCCCCCAACTTGGGATCAGATGGAGAAGTTGATGATTGGGCTGGGGTTGTGGCTCCGTAGTGGAGCACTCGCCTAGCATGTTTGGGGCCCTGGGTTTGCTCCTCAGCAACAAATAAAAAGTAAATAAACAAAATAAAGGTATCATGTCCACCAACAACTAAAAAAGAAATTCTTTTAAAAAAAAAAAAAGTTGACAATCGAAGCTCAAAATGTGGTTGAGAGTCAGTGGGCCCCTATGACACCAGCTACCGTGTTTATGGCAATGTTGGCCATTGTAGGTTGTCAAGTATGTAGGGTGACAGGCGGAACTTATTGCACATATTTTTCAGATCTTGCGGTAATTAATTCTGCTACTTGGGCTGGAGGATCTCTCCCAGTGTTTACAAATTATTCTGCTGTGATGGGGGTGTCAATCTGATTTTCATATCATTCCCTATCATTACTTACATTGTACTTATTCTGGATATAGTGTTGAGACTCCTATTTGTCTATTTATCAAAAAACAGAGTGCTTACAAGTGTCCCAGGAATATAAGATATCCTACGATGGTACTCGTGTTGCCACAGTTTCCGGTCCTTGGGATTTAAAAAAAATGTACAAATTATTATCAAAATAGGTTTTCCTAATTCTGGTTATAAGGATTCTGTCAAATACCCTCCATTTCCTTATTGCCCTAATTCCACCACTTCAAAACTGGGACTTTCCTCATTGGCTAGATTGTGCTAATTTAGTTCCTGTAAGACATGATATTTCCCAGTCTGAGCCATATGTCCTAAACTGGTCTCATAAGTTTGATTTAGCACATCCTCATAATGAACTTACAACTCCTGGAGGGTTTGCTAGTAATATCTTGACTATACGATCAGGAGGCATTCAGAAGGATTTATGGCATCTAGCTACTGCTTTAGATTTTGTTAACTCTAGTCAATTGCTTGCAGATCTAACCGGTGATTGTATCGCTAACTCATGTTATGGTTGCAGGTGCGTGTCCAGACTCCTGTGTTATTAACGGGAAATACTAATATCACAAAAATGGTCAGTAATTGACATTTTGTACAGTGTACTAACTATAATCTTAGTAACTGTGTGACTAGACATAACAAAGATCAAGATATTTTGGCTTTATAGCAGTCTTCCTTCCTTATGCTTCTCACTAGCAAATATAAAAGACTGATGTCAAGATGCAGGGCTACAGGTTCTTCAAGAACTTCATAATCAACTGATTGGCTCATGGAGTGAAGTGGGACTTACAGTCTTTGGTATTGTTATTTTAATTACCATGATTGCTTCTGCAAACACTGCCTCTGTTTCTCTGGCACAGGACATGGATCAGCTTGTTTTGTCAACACTTGGCACAAAATACTTCAAGAGCTCTCCAAGAGCCCAGTATGGTGGCGTATGCCTGTAATCCCAGTGGCTTGGGAGGCTGAGGCAGAAGGAATTCAAAGCCAGCTTCAGCAATGGCAAGGCACTGAGCAACTCAGTGAGACCCTGTCTCTAAATAAAATACAAAATAGAGTTGGGATGTGGCTCAGGGGTTGAGTGCCCCTGAGTTTAATCACTAGTACCAAAAAAAAAAAAGAAGAAGAAGAAAGAAACCCTCAAAGATCAGGAGGCTATTGATGATAAACTTAAAGCTAAGTTAAATCTTTTAGAAGCTACTATAATGAGTTTAAATGATCAGATTCAAAGTCTTAAGGTCAGACAACAATTACAATGTCATATTGTTTATTGATTTATTTGTTTTACACCTCCTGTTTTATATGATAGCTCTCAATGGGATTGGAATAAGATCAGGTATTTGGAATCATAACAATGTTAGTTTAGATCTTTTACAATTACACCGTTACATCTAAGATATGAGAAAAATTAAGATTTCTATGTTATTTCCTGCCAAGTTTGTAGAAAAGCTGTTAAATGACCTAAATGGTTTCAATCCTTGGAATATGCTAACATTTACTGCATATTCCTGCACATTTATGGTGTCTCATAGGGCTTGTTTCCTTACTTTAATTCTGTATTATTTTCTCGGTGTCAGCAGCAAGCTCATCTGATCCCAGCTCCAATAACTTCAAGTAGACATGCATTGGTTGCGATTAAAAAATAGAAAGGAGGAGCTGAGCGTGGTGGCATACATCTAGAATCCTGCTTCCTGGGAGGCTGAGGCAGGAGGGTTGCAAGTTCAAAGCCAGCCTCAGCAATTTAGCGAAGCTTTAAGCAACTCAGCGGGACTCTGTCTCTAAATAAAATATAAAAAGAACTAGGGATATGGCTCAGGGGTTGAGTGTCCCTGGGTTCAATCCCCAGGGGCAAAAAAATTAAAAAATAAAAATAAAAAGCAAGGCGATATGGAGCGCTGATGAGCCCCCAGTCATCAGCTAAAAGTCAAGCCTGGGGAACATTGCTTGCCAAAAGTGAGGATGTTATCAGCCTTGATTCTCAGCTCTGATGCTAACAGTTATCAGGCATCCCAAGACAATGGATATCCTGGGTATAGCAGGATAATAGCAAAATGTTCTTAGCACTGCAACAGTAGGATAGCTAGAAAAAAATGTTTGTAGCTCTGTAATTTTTAGTGCACAAAGAAGCCTCTGACAACTTAACAAGCCTTGGACAATTTACAATGCCCCTGTAGTTTAACTTCCTGATTCAGAGACCCTATGTAATAAACGTGCAGAGCTAGTTCTGGGTCTCTGTTGCTCCATCAGAGTGCAGTCTCCCACCTGACCCCAGCTTTTTGTGAAATTACCTCTGTGTCTTCTTTGTCCCTGTGTTTTTCTTCATCTCCCATCACCCCTACTAGAGAATCCTTTGTTGTTAGCTGTGCGGATTGTGGCAGTATAACCCACCATTTTAATAGTGAACAGCTCTGTGGCATTTAGTCCATTCACAATGTTGCACAACCCTCACCTCTGAAAGCTCCAAAACATTTTTGTCACCCCAAAAGGGGACCCTAGACTCATTACACATTTGTTCCCCATTACTCCTTCCCCCAGCAAAGGGACTTTCTGTCCCAGTTCTAGTTCCTAATTTCTGAGTCCCTCAATCCCTTACTCATCAAATTGCCTTCTAAGCCTTTTTTCAAACTCTAACAAGGCTTTTGCTACTGTGAAGCCACCATCTCAGGGGGTAGTTTAAGAATTGCCAGCTTAAGTAAAAGCATTAATTGAGAACCTCTGAAAGCAGGCACTCTGGATCCATGATTTCATCTAATCCTCATTATGAGGCACTTCTCAGTAACTAGAAAAATCTCAGCTGGGGGAAATGACATTTTTAAAGATTTTTAAATACAGATATAATTTGCATAAGACAAAATGCATCCTTTGAGTGTACAGCCTTATGGGTGTCCACAAAAACATGTGGCCACACAGCCACCGAGGCCACCACCATCAAGACATAGAACCCTCTAAAATTTCTTCCCTTCCTAGTCACCCCCTCCCCAACGCCAATCCCTAGAAGGCACCTGTCTACAGTTTTGCCTTTTCCAGAATATCCTTTGTATGGACTCAGTATGCAACATTTTGAGACAGACTTCTTTTGCCCTTTATTATACACTTGAAATTCGTCTACACTGTTGCACATATTGACAGCTTGTTTCTTAATATCACGGAGTAACACTCCATTGCATGGATGTATCACTGTTAATTTACCAGGTTCAGGATATTTGGGCTGACTCCAGTTTGGAGCACCTGGGAACAAAGCCATGAAAACATTCACATACAGGTTTTGTGGTAATATGAATTCCATTTTCTTAGGCAAATATATAGCAGTGGGTTTCTGGGTTGTTAGAAAGGTGTGTACTTGTATCAGAGACTGCCCCACTCTCTTCCAAAGGGGTCACACCATTTTGCATTTCCTAGCAGCTGGAGTGCACACCTTCTTCTTTTTAGATATACCTGACAGTGGAGTGTACACACATGGAGGATAACTCATTCTAATCAGGATTCCATTCTTGAGGTTGTACATGATGTGGAGTTTCACTGGTGTGAAAAAAAAAAAAATGTTTGAATGTGACGCTAAGAATGATGCCCTGCGCGCTCGCTACGCTGAGCACTTTATACGCACGCATCGTCTCATTTGACTCTCACAAGCTCCCTTTAAGGTCGTGTCCCTATCCAAATTTTAATGAATTTGGAGACAGCTTCAGAGAGGTTAAGTCATTTTCCCCAGGCGCACAGCGAGTCCAAAGTCCCAGCTGGTGAGCATCAAAAGTTCGGCTCCTGAACGCGGCCGGTAAACGGCGGGAGACTCCTGGAGGTGGGTTAACCGGGTGGCATCTGGCTGCAACGCCTGCCAGGGTTCGGGTTCAGGCCGTGGAAGCGTCCGGGTCCCGCCCCCGCCGCGGGAGGATCAAGGCTGAGGATTGGCTGCTGGGGAGGGGGTGGAGCTCCCGCTCGTCGGTGGGCGGGGCTGATCGCTGGCGGTAAATACCGCGCCACATGGCACGGAATAGCGGGGGCGGTGTGCGGAGGGCGCAAGCGCATTGAGAGGGGGCGCCCTCTGTCTCTGCGGCTCCGCCGGCGAATTCTCGCGAGAAGATGTTGGGGGCGGGACCTCGGCGCCGGGGGCGGGGCTGTGCCTGGGGAGGGTTCGCTAGTCGCGCGGCCGCGGCGGCGGAGGCTGGCGAGGCGAGGAAAGGGGCGCGGGGACGAGGTGAGGAAAGGAGCGCGGGGCGAGGGCGTGGGACGGAGCGTGCGGCACTCGGTCCCCAGGCGGGGACGGGTCGGAGTCTCGCGAGTGAGAAGCGCTCTGGCCGGCTGAGGGCGCGGGTCAGTCTTCCCTGCCCGGCCTTGGCAGGTCCGGCGTGGCCCGGGTTCGAGTCCCTGCACCGGCCCGCTGTGTGACCTTGGCCTGGCGATCACCCTCTCTGAACCCTCTGCTTGCGGGGTCCTGGCCCGCAGGATGAGCGGAGAAAGCGTGTGGCCGCCTGTTCCCCTACCCATCTGCGGGCCACCTCTCCTCCGGCGACCGAGCTCCTGGCCCTGCCGGCGTTAGCAGTTTTGTTCTTTGGCTGCTTGAGCATCTGCGAGCAGAATCAATAATTGTTGAGAGATGACAAAGGTGCTGCAGTGTCCCGCGGAACCCGTCCAGTGGCGCCCTGGCGGTGGTTAGTGTGCGTTGCCCCGCAGGCAGAGACTGTGCACCCACCCAAGCCCCCCGGTCTACACCTCCCCCCCAGTGTGCGGGCGGCTTTCTGCTCCAACTCCGCTTCCCTTCGCTGCGTCAGGCCAGCAGAGCGCAGACCCCAGCTCCAGGCGGAGGTGGCAGAGCATCACCTAAGTGACCCTTTGCTCCAGTCGGAGCCCCTGCGTCTTCAGGGGGAGGAAGCCTTGCATGAGCCGCTCACAGGAGGACCTATCTTCTCTTTGGGCTCTTGGCCCAAAGGCATGGCTGGCCAGCCCCTGGCCCGCACAGGGGTTCCGTCTGGCAGGGCGCACAACAAGCTGTAGTGTTTTCACAATTATTAAATTATTTATTTTATAATCCGACACCGGAGGGACTCGGAAGACCCGGGATGAATAAGAATGTGAAGTCCCGGCGTCTGTCTGCGGGTGCCCTGCATTGTCATCAGTGCTCTGGGCCTTCCCTGCCCCCACGGCAGGACCCGGCTTAGCCTGGGTCAGCCCTTCTCTGGGAGCATCATGTGTTGGGAATGTGAGTCAGCGCTGGTGTCTGGGTGGAAGGAGAGAAAACAAGGATAATTTGGAAATTGCCATGTGAAATCCCCTTTTTGTGGGTTTGAAGTGTGTCTGTCTGGGATGGCAAGGGGCTTGCACATGAGTCCATAGGATTTTGTGCTGAGGCTTGCAGGCTGGCAGGGTCGGCTCACCCGATGCACCCCAACTCCATCAAACCTCCAGTCACTGCAGGATAGCAAGTTGGGCTGGATAGTGTACATCCAAGGGCCTTGCCCTGGGCTGGCTGCTCCATGGTCAGCTGGAGCTAATGCAGGGTGGCTGGTGCTACAAGCCACACTGTTGGCAGGGCGAGGGAAGAGGGAGCAGCTCAGCTTAGTGGATGGAGTTGAAGTTTTCCACAGTGGAGCAGGCCTTGGGGGATGAGTTTGGGGAAGACTCTGATGGAGTCAGTATGCAACATTTTGAGACAGACTTCTTTTACCCCTCATAATACATTTGAAATTCGTCTACACTGTGCACATATTGATAGTTTGTTTCTTAATATCACAGAGTAGCAGCAGAGCGGTGGAAGTGGAGATACCTGGGAAATGTGAGTTGCCCTGTTCCTCCTGGAATGGGGATTGGGTGGAAGGATGCATTTATGATTGGGAAGGACCTGGAAAGCCAAGCTGGGGAGTTTGAGTTTCATGCCCTTGGAGAGGAGCAGTTGAGGTCTGGGTGGAAGATGGTTGGATCTGTATTCCAGACAGGCTAGTCATACTAGTGGAAATAGGGAAGGTGGATTTAGGGCCTGGGGAGATGCAGACTGTTGGTTAGGCTTACAGGGGGTGGGGGTGTTGAAGACAGTGGCTGAGAGAATGGGGGGCTGCAAGAAGCTGGAAACTCGCCTGGGTGGTGGTGTCTTGTGGGCTGCGGGGAGAGGCAGAGAGAAGGCAGAGGTAGCTGGATGTCTTGAATGGGCGCTGAGGGCATTGTTGGCATCTTTGATGATGAATTGAGCAGGGTGGGAGCAGGAGCCGGGAAAACGTAGCCCACTATGGGGCTGCCTGTGGCCGTGCAGGTCACTGTCACTCTGCACAAGTATCAAGGCTGGTGGGTGATTCTCTTCTAGAGAGGCCCAGGGCTGAAGGTGCCATAGGTAGAAAAGAGACTGGTTATTGATAATTCTGAAACAAATGCAGCTAATCTCTAATTTTAAAATCTTTAGTTTCAAGTTTCGTATTCTTTCTCTTCAGAAAGTAGCTGTAAGCTTCACACCCAGTTGGTGGCTCTAGTCAAGGCTGGTGCCTGGAGATAACTGACCTTCTGACATAATGCTTCCTGCTATTAACCAAGGAGGTGGTTTCTGTAACTATTTAGAAACTTTAAAAGTATTTCAGAAAGAAAAAAAAAAAGTATTTCAGACAAGAATGGGAAACACCAGGCACCACTGAGAATGGGCGGGGGTGGGGGGGCAGGTGCACTGCTATTCAGAACACAAGCGAATGCCACAAGAAAGCTCCAGAACATGACCAGTGGGTCTTTCCCTCCAGGCAGAAAGATGGCTAAGTCTTTGGGGAATCTGAGAAGCCCAAGAGAAAAGACCTAAAAATATCAACAAAGGGGGATCCTGGTAAGAAGGATCTTACTAACAGAGTTCACAATTAATAACCATCTCCAGTGTTCAAAGCACCCAGATTCTTTTACCCCCATCCCTGAAGTGTGCACAGCTAACCAAGGACACCGAAGAAGCACCCTGATGTGAGAGCCCGGGTGGGACACTCGCTTGGGAGCAGCAGCCAGTGTGCAGGAAGGAGACCCGGGAAGCAGATGCCCCTGCTCTGCAGTGAAGAGGAGAGAAGATATTGCAGACATAGAACAAGGATGGAAAGTTTTACCAAAAAAAGGAATGTTCAGAGATCCAAAAAGAGAAGCCTTGGATATAGAGAGTGACAGTGGAAATAAGAAACCCAGTTTGCAAGTAAAAAATAAAGTTGAGAAACTCTCAGAAAGTAGAACAGATGGCAATCACAAGGCCCTGGGTTCAATTCCCAGCACCACAAAAATAAAATAAAATAAAAGTATCACAGAAAAGCAGTGAGAAGGGAAAAAATGAGAGAAAAAAAAAGAAGAACATCAAAGAATTAGTTCAGGAGATCGGCAGCTGAATATTAAGAGTTTTAGCAAGAAAGAATTGAGAAAAGAGCATGAAATCATTCACAGAATAACTTCTGGAACCCACATACTTGCCAGACTGAAGGGGCTCCAGTGTCCAGCACCAAGGATGAGAGCGCAGGTAGCCCTGGTGTGCAGAGCTCCATCCCCACCCAGCCTGGGCAGGAGGATCTGGGGGTGAGGGATGCTGTCTCAGGCAGAGACTAGTGGAAGTTTGGCATGCAAGGGATTCATCTGAAAGTGATGCTGTCAGCTCCAGAATTTAAGTGATGAGTGAGTTGGAGAAAGATCTCTGAGGCCCGCTCCAAGGCACCCTGTTGCAGGTTCATAGAACACGGGGACACAGAATCTGTGGTAGCTTCTAGCAATAAATAAATAAAAACAGACCATAGACAGGTCCCCACTCACCAAGAAGCAGCATGGCTTTGGACTCCACAGGAGCCTTGGACACTAGAAGATCAAAGAGCCTTGCTTTCAAAATTCTGAAGGAAAACATTGTCAACCGTGAGGGGCAGGAGGGTAGAACTGACATCTCCAAGAACTTCCCCAAATTTGCCACTTCTGAACTTTAAGGAGGTGACTGGCCAACATGCCATCCCCGCACAAGCTGGTGCGCCAGAGAGAGATGGCGGTGGGGAGACAGCTGGCTGCAGGCAGGGTGGGGCCTGGTGCTTGGCAGCTCCCTGGGAGTTGAGGTCCCTGCCCTGAGCCCCTCACAAAGCTCCTTGAAGGGACTTTTTTTGGAAGAAGGAGATGATGAAATTAACAGGACACCCGATGAGCTGGGACATCTGCAGAGGAGATTTAAACCTTGGCAGAGTTGGGTCTGGATTAGTGATAAGTGCATGGAAAACAAAGCAAAGAAAAACACAAGACTGTTATTAGTTCCCAGGAAAATAAACCATTGTGCGGGCAAAGAAAAATAATTACGGTGTCCAGGACGAGCTGTGAATAGTCTCTCCACACTGGTGACAGTGTGGATAAACACTCACTGCTACTCTAATTGGAATGATATGCCTGTGTGGGGACCAGGTGGGGAGGGGATAGCAGGCGTGTGAAGGGTCAAGGGCGGGGGAAGGGAGCTCTGTTCTCGCCTGCCCCGTGGGAGTTCAGTCCCCAAACAGAACAGCTAAGTGGTAGCTCTGAGGCACGTGGTGAGCAGGAGTCACACACTAAGATCAGCAGATTAGCAGGTGAGGGTGGGGGAAGGAGGGAAGGCCTGCTGTGCTTCCTAGTTGGGGACAGTTTAACCCCTTGATGGATGTGCAGGTACAACACTGTGGGCAAAGGCTCTCCGAGCAGCCCCTGCTTTGGTGGAGCAGGAGACCAGTGCCGCCTGTGTTGTGCACAGGCCCCTCTTAGCAGGCAGAATCTACTTGTTCTCATTTCCTCTTTTTTTTTTTTTTTTTTAAAGAGAATTTTTAATATTTACTTTTTGGTTTTCGGCGGACACAACATCTTTGTATGTATGTGGTGCTGAGGATCGAACCCGGGCGGCACGCATGCCAGGCGAGCGCGCTACCGCTTGAGCCACATCCCCAGCCCTCATTTCCTCTTTATTATTGTCTTTGTTCTCTGTATCCTGTCTCCAGTCCATGGACACTTGTCAGAGACTTGGTGCTTTTTTTTTTTTTAAGCCATTTTTGTTTCTTTTAATGTTTGTAAAGGGATTTTTAAATGGAACCACAGGTACAGTGCTAATGAGCCCCCTTCACCTGCCACTGGTTTCAGAAATGAGCAGGGTCCGTGGTGTCTGTTTTTATTAGCACAACACCTCCTTGTGTCCTCAAGGCACTGCCCAGAGCCTTGAGGACACAGCTGTGACAAGCAGGAAGAGAACTCCCTCCTGAAGTTTCTGTT